ATTACCCATATTTGCTCAATGACAGAGAGTGACGTCTTATTACAAACTCCGTATTTTTTCCGCAATTACCCATATTTGGGTATTTTGCAACAAAGCAATAATTTACATGTGATTACCCATATTTGGTCAATGACAGAGAGTGACGCCTTATTACAAACTTCGGCTACGCTCAGCGTTATTACCCATATTTGGTAATTGCTGTACGGTTTTAAAACACAGTTAAGATTTTCCCATTTTATTAAATGATTTTTTCAAGATGAAAGAAGCTGGAAAGTTTTACCCTATTACCGATAAAAAACGAATGTATTTTTATAATAATACAATGATTACGTATAACATAATTTTAGTTCCAGATTCGAGCCTAGATTACCCCGAATTTTCACCTGCAATAAAGCTGCAAGTTAGCCGTCTTACAAAACCCATCCCAATTACATCTGTGTCAACTGGCGAATATTGAGTCATTCATACGGTAAAAATTTTTTTTATTAGTTTTTTTTTTTTTTTTATTATCTTTTATTATTTAGTGTTTATCTTTTTTTTTAGATAAATTGTGGAAAATCGATGTATTTACTGGATTTAGCACAGAAAATAAGCGAGGAAGAGTACAAGAGTCCTAAAGCTGCGTGCGATCCCGAGGAATCATTTCAATATCTACATGTCAATGAATTCGACGAATTTGTTAACGAATAAGAATTGTACATGCAAGGAAGCCCTATTCGTGTTTAAAATGTGTCATGATAAATTTAGAATTCCGAAGAGTCCTTTTTTTCCTTCGTGCATATGTAGATATAAATTACAAGATTCATCACAGTTTTGCAGTACTTGTTTAGAACGCGATTACAACAGGGTGCGTGTCGAATACGAGAAATTAATTTTACAGAAAAAATTAATACTGCTGTCGAGAACGTTTTACCCTGCGATTGTAAATCTTGTCAAAGTTGGGACGGTGAGTCGTGTATTATCATCACATGTCATAGAATTGAATGCGTTTGCGAGGAGAATGTGAATCTCGAGTGTACTAAGATTGTTAGTCATGGTAAATACATAATGTCATCACACTATGTTTGCCCTAGAACATGGTTGGACAATTGTAGTTTTGATATTAACGTGGGAGACCAATATTTTCATCAGTATGTGACAATCATGAATCATGCTCGCGAGTATTTAATGTGGTTTACACGCAATAGTTGTAGATTACCCACAACAGCGGTGGTGAAACCCATAACAACAGGAACATGGCCGGCAAATCTTGGGAATGAACTACAATTGTTTTACATGTGCGCTGATGGACGCTGTAGTTACGAACAATCGGTTCGGGGCCATTCACAAAGGATGTCCGGCCAAATGATGGATTTTCAGACCCCCCCTCCCCCCTTGTCCAGCATTGTCCGAATTAGTGACCCCCCTCCCCCGGACATCCACCATGCCTCGCAAAAACTCACACAACCTTGTATATGTCAAGAGTAAAAAACTTTTTTTACTTTTAGAACTTTTTAGAACTATAAATGTGAATACAAAAACATATAAATTACTAATTAAAACAAAATCTAGTGTTAACCGCAGAGTCAAAATGCCAATTTCACAATGAGAAGGACTGCTCAAAATAGAGGGAAAAAGAAATTTGTTTTTGAATTTTTTAAAATTTCGGACATCCGGATTGCTAACCCCACCCCCCCTCCCCCCCTATGTCCAAGTTTGTCCTGATTTTCCAAACCCCCCTCCCCCCCCCTTGGCTCGGACATCCTTTGTGAATGGCCCCTTCCGCAAATAAGAGATTCGTATGGAGCGGTTAAATGCGTGTGTGGAAAGGCATGTATTAAACTGGATGGTGTTTATTGTTGTTCAAAGCCCGATGGCGGGTGCAGTGTGTATTTCCATGAACATGATTCATTAACATTAATACACACTATGATCTGCAATGACAAGGTCGAGGATCACGCTTGGTTATGTCTATCAAATAAGGCAAAGATGATCTGTGGTAAACGGGGCATTCTTAAATATAAATATAACAATGCGTATACAAATGGAGAGTTGTTATATAAATGTAGGGATAACCATGCGTGCAAACGTGTTATAAAAGATATACTCTTACCCGCATTAGTTGTGGGGGATGATTTATTGTAATAATAATATCTTCTGAAAATTACATATTTTTTAAACAAGTAGTTACTGTCTTTTTTATTGTCAGCCAGAGACTCGTTTTACCCAATTCATCAATTTGTTTCCCCTTTTCTTGTAACCACCACCTTTTTGTGTCCATGCGCGGTGTTCGAACCATCTTTTAACAAGTTTGTGTTCATCTGCAACTATACCCCCTAGAGAAGATGTGTATGTGTTCTCGTATTTAGTCGCACATCGGTTATGTGGGGGAGGAGGAGTTTTACATACCTACCCATCTGCGGATGTCTCTGTACATATCTTGGGTGGTATCTTGCCGGGTAGCGATTATATGAATGGTGTCGCCTACCACCTTGAGTATTATCTACGGATATATGCATATTTCAGTTTTGTGGGGGCGGTCTTCTCCTTCTTCTTCCCCCCCCCCCCCCACCACCACCCCCAAGACCAGCAAGGCTGAGAAGTGGTAATAAAAAACCACCATCCTGTTTTTTTTTACTCCTCTGGTGTTTACCGCCTTTAAAGTTCCTACCTCTTTGGTTTTTTTTCACTCACCATGACGACTGTTAGAATGGGACTGACTAAGATTTGGGTGTGTAACAAATTTATTGAATGTAAAGTTGTGCTATTTCGGTTTGTTCGCAAAGACAAATTTGGTAAAGTTATTGTGCAGGCAGAGCATAAAAAACATCATTACGATCTGTCTTTTAGCCCAATTCATGCAAAAATTACAGTGAACCCACACTGGTTGAACACTAACCATCGCAAGGAACATAAATTACTTGAAGAATATTTTGGCGAAGTTGTAATTATTTTAAAACACCTTATTGCCTTTTTTCATTGGGATAACAAAGCTGTACAGGAATATTTGGCAAGAACTACAGGTCTTTACATCCCATACAATTTCGAAATTCTCGATGTGTTACGCGAACTAAAATGGATGGTATTACATTAATAAGACTGTGGAGCTCAGAAGATTATCATCGTAAGACAACATTTGTGTACAAGGGATTATTTGGGGTCGCAAAAATTAAATTATCTGTTAGCAACGCGAATGAGGACGGTAGACGAAAAAACATTTATACATTACAAGCATATTATATTAGTTCACAGCATATATATCATTATACTAACGTGGATGTAAATTTCGAAGAGGGTGTATTAAGTATTCGCGTGGATTTGGTACTATATTTGCCCCCGTACACTATTTTTTACTTGAGTGTTTAAGCAAGATTACTGTGAAAGAGATATATTTAAAATGGTTGCAACATTTGGTGTACAATGTGATGATTCTTTAATAAGCATAATACACACAATACGTTCTAGCTATAAAACATTCACCGTTGTAAAGAGTATATAAATAAAATACTGATTCACCGTCTGATTCAATATGTACTTCGATCGAGTAAGCGACATGGCAGCATTTTACAGGCTTACCAGCAGTATATTTGTAAATAACAAACCGCTCAAAGTGTTTTGTGCTGACACAATTTACACTTGCGACCGTCACGTATCTATGGTTGACGTTATACGTACAAACTCCGACCGAGAATTGCTACATTAGTTTTTACTGGCATATGCATCCTGGTACTGGGTATTGGCTTTGTGCATGCAGCAAGCAGCCCGATGTGTATATGAAAAAAAATTTTGATGGAGTTGTATAGATATAGCAATAGTTTTAAGGGCGAACCCTTTTATTGCGTAGTAATGGAATTAAAAAAAGATTTGGCAGAACGGGGTTATTACCTACATAAGTCAGTGTTTAAATTTATTTTATTCATACATCTACATAGAACATATTTGGGTCGTGTTTTCTTGGGGACTGCTACCCGATGTCACTAGATAGAAACTACTATCACGAGGGAGACGTACCAGTTATTTTCGGTCAAAAAAGATTCGATTTGTGGACAACCGACATTTGGTACGGTACAAAACGGTTTGAAGACGACAGTATAGTTGCCGAGACGTTTTTTGCATGGGTCGATGCGGCGGGTGAAAAAGCCTCTGAACGTTTACATAAATTATTTGAGCAGGGAGCCGTCGTGGATTTGCTGTATGTATTGACTTGTGATGAAGATTTTTGCAATAAAGACCTAATTTATCAATTGTATATATTATCGGTTGCGAAAATACTACATACAAGTAATCTGTTGTTATTTTCCAGCACCGAACGAAAATACCTATATTTGGGCAAAATCAATAAAATTACAAAAAGCATAGTTGAGCAAATCAAGGATCGAATTGCAAAAAAAAAATCAATTATCACGGCGGGGGTGTTCGTCACATGCCTCGTAGCATATAAATGTTGGTAAGTTGTAGCAGTATTCACTGTTCAGTTCGCCACCCCTCTGTATTCACTGTTCAGTTCGCCACCCCTCTGTAATCATGGTTGAAGTTTATCACAAAGAAAAATCAGTTCTTGAACGTGTGTTGGGCATTTACGCCCATCAAACCTCCACATTGGTGTTTGCAAAGCGCTACAACAAAAAATGTGTGCTAGCGTCGGGCATGCTTTCTGAAAACAAAAAAAAAATTTTTATATAAAACTGGTGTTGAGATGACATTTGATGAACTCGAAGAGCTGGTAAAGGGTCTAGGAAAAGCATCGAAAGCACCATCCCATATCAACTATTTTGAGATCAGTGAAAGCGAGGATTATCTGGGGAACAAGTATCGTCTTGTTCTAAAAGACAGCGAGTACTTGGGCTTGGTTGTTTGTAAGTTAAAATCCTGCCGCGCACCAGACGTGTTTCCTGACAAGATTGACGAAAAGGGATCACCCTTACCCATCTCAGATCAGATTGGTAGTCATATTCCTGCTGAGAATGTGGCCTGGAACGAGTGTTTTGACAAGTTTTATATCAATAAAAATGATGATTGGTTAAAAATTGTCAGAACCCTTCGTAGTTTCTGCATCGACCTCAACCACATTTTTAATGTTGATGATGAATCGAAAATACCTGATTCAAAAATTGAAGTTATCCCCGCAACACCCTCATTACTAGCACCCCATGAAAGTACAAATACAAGTACACCCACCCCCAAAAGCCAAAGGTGGTAAATGAAAGTTGGACACGAAAGGAGAGTCGAAGCCCCGCAAGAAAAATATGATTGTTAGTGACGACGACGAAGCAGAGGTGAGCAATAGTAATTACCTAATCCATTTACCGCCCACACTAAGTAAAGAATTTCCTGAAATGGGACGTACAGAGTTGGCTGTAAAAGTTCTATTATCATATATGGGGCGCTATGGTAAATCGTGTGAAGAAACCGTCACGTGTTTTTATGAGGATATGAATTATCGAGATGAATTTGATTATTGTAGACTGTTAGAATTTGGCGAGATACTCAAGACAACGTCTAAAAAGTTATTAAGTACGCAAAACAATAAAGATTAATTTTTTTATTTAGCCAAGCGACAATCGAATCATAGCCAACATTATCACATTCATGATGAAAGACAATTTGTCTGCCAAAGAAGCTGTTCTGAGACATAACGACGAGCTAAATAGGCTTTGTAAATATAATTATATCTCATTTGTAAAGGATAATGAGAGGGAAATAAACTACGTGCATCATATAATTAAAAAAAAAGAACTGAAAGACAATTAACCCGTTTTATATAGTGAACACACAAGCAGATGGCGAAAAGAAGAAAAGAAAACAAGATTGATTTGGAACTTATTAAAAAGGCTGCCTGTTTACTAAAGAATGAACAATTGTCAAAGGAACAGCAAGAATCTTATTCTTTACATGCTAAAAAATTAACAAAAATAAGGTGTCTAAAAATTTATATTAACAAACGTAACGAACAATGGAGTATTGATTTAGCAGACTTAAATGAACTATCGGGTTATAATAATCAGTATCGATATATTCTTGTATGTGTTGATGTTTATACACGCTATGCTTTTGTAAAATTCCTTAAGAATAAAACGGCAAACAATGTTTGTAATAAGTTCGAGGAGATTATAACTGAAGCGGGGGCAGCTCTGACCAGGGTACCGAATTTGCAAAGATTATAAAAACATTAGCCCCCAAATATGGTTTTAAAGTGTTTCACACTCAAAATAGAGAAATCAAGTCCGCTTTTCTTTCAAGCGTGTACTGTGAATATTTTCCATGCAAAGGTCTAGGCAACCATATTCCTTTAGGCATTGCAAATACAATGATTTTAAGTCACTCAATTTAAACACTGGGATGGTTTCTGTAGACGCTTTATAATTTTTTAAGTAATCCAAAATCTCTGCAAGAACTATCCCCTCGATGATAGCATTCTCAGAGTCTGCTTTAGGTTTGGTAGTTTGTAAATCGCGTAGCCTGTTGTAAAGAGCAGAAAGATATGATTTATGGTAAAGAGCTTCTACTGCTATCATATCACCCTCACTCAACTTGGCTAAAAGCATTTCATCACAAAGATGATTGGCTGCATTACGCACTTTTCTGTCAAGCTCGAGTGTCTGCACTTTGGTTAGGTTTTCGGCTGAGTCTTCTTTATCACAAAAGAAACATTTTGGTTGAAAATTTTGGGCTGTGTACCGTGCTCTTGTGCTTGGTGGTAAAACAGTATCCGAGACGCTCTCAGAGGATAGTTTTCTTTTCTTTGAAGCCCTATCGTAGTGTTGTTTGTCGTATTTATTTCTGCATTTTTTATGAAATTTGGCTTTGTTGCTGACAAACCTTTCAAGTAAATCATTGCAGCTCAAGTAGTTAACTCTAGAAGATATACTGATAGGTAATTTACCAATCGTTTCAAACTGTTTAAGCTGCTGGACCAAGGTAAGGTAGCCAGTAGATTTATCTGTACGGTTGCTGGGCAGACAAGTTGCTCTTCCGACGGTTCTTGGCAGATGAAACACAATTCAAAATTTGAATCCTGGTTCGTTGATATCCTGACACCAGCTGTATCAAAATCAGCCACTGCATCTAACAATGTAAACTTTTTCTCCGACATCTTGATATTTTTTCATAATTTAATATGAAATAGTGTTTCCCTCACGATACATAACATCAAATTTGAATGAAATTGCATTGTGCTTCCTATGATAAACTTTTTACTTTTCTAAATTTACACAAACTACTGTTCATAGCTTTAGATTTTAACGAAAATATCACCTCAATTTACACAGCCAGGTTTTGCTTTCACTTTCACCATTTACAAAATTGAGAAGAGAACTGGATTCTAGCTCCCAGTCCCAAATAGAGTTACGGCTCTAGGGACCTGGAACCTAGTTCACAATTTGTTCGAACTTCATCATTTTAAGCATATATACAGTATTAACTACAAATGCTTATGTAAAATTGTAAATGAAATATGATCTCAGTTCATAATTTGCAATGAAGTTATCAAAATAATGTTAGAGGCATGGGAACTAGTTCCCAGTCTAAACTGTTTTACGGCCATGTTCGAACTATAATATTTTTCAGCATGTGGTACTGCCTATCAATGTGAAGTTTCATGTCGGTATCACTATTTGTGATTGCAAGAGCAATTTGGAGGCCTGGGAACTAGTTCCCAGTTTAAACTGCATATAGCATAATTATTCGCTATCTTTTTTAATGTTATATTTTTCAGCATGTTAAACTGTCCCTAAATTCTAAGTTTGAAGTCAGTACAACAATTTGTGGTAAAGTCATCGCAAGATCAATTTTAGTAGCCTGGGAACTAGTGTCCAGTCTCGAAACAGCAAAAGGGGTCATTTTGGAGCATGTGTCCACATCTTTTTTCAGTGTATCAAATTACCTATCTCCCCAAATTTTCATGCTGGTATCATAATTTGCATGTTCTCAGGTATGTTAATGCCTGGGTCTCAGTTTGTGTATTTAGCGAAAATAGACAAAAAATCATAAAAAAATAAGTATGGCCTTGATTATTACCATTCAAGTTTTATATAATTTATCAAAGGAGATGCTAAAAGTTGACCTACTTTTCGTTGTCATGGCAACGATCACGTGATGTATATTTCGAAAAACAACACAAAAAGTGATACATTTTATTCAGAGGCTCTGCAGCAGTATAATTCGTGACTGAGAGGATGCAGAATTGCGATAAACATTCACACATAATATCACTGCTTATTGAATGAATCTGGAAAGTTTACATTTAGGCTTCGTTTCATTATTTTATGCGGCTATATTACGACGATCGGCATCAAACGAATGTTAATCACGTCATTAAATGTTATCTACAAATAAATGTACGATTTCCAAATTAACGCAGGAAACTTTGTTCCGATGTTGATGTTATTAGCATATGAAAATAGCAAAATTTTGTCAAATTACCCTGCTGCAAGTCGAACGCGTTTTTCGCGTGATGAATTTCACGCGCCATAATGAAACAGTCTGACGCTTATTCTAAGGGATATTATATTTCCAATAACAACATTCATTGCGCATTCAAGCCGGTATCTTAAAACAGAATTAATGCTTGAAGGGAAGCATGCCATGGTGGAAAAGACCGACTAAACTATACGTGCTATAGTTAATTTATAATTCACAAGCAATTTTTCATTGAAAATAAGAAACAATCAACAATTAATACTAAATAATCACAAGATAGCGCACTATAAGAAGCTTTTATTTATCAGCAGTTCAAAGGTCAGCTGTCGCAAATGATACAATAATATTGCTATATAAAAAGCCAATTATTACATAAAAAATGAATAGTATACCGACTTCTTTGCATTGTATATTCCAAAATAATCCTGTCGCTCATATATACTATCTTTTGATTTGAAGCAAACGCCCGAATTCACTAAAATAGTCACACAAGGGGGGCATATTCTAACAGACGCATTACTAACAGACCGCGCGGGCAACACGCGCGCAAGATATTATCCAAGCGTGGGCAGACCCAGGCATTAACATGCCTGAGTTTCTCGTATATTTTTGTGTTAAGCTCCCTCACTAACAAGGTTGGTATTTTTATGATTGGAAAAGAGCAAATTTTCAGAAAATACAAAAAAACCTGATATCAAAATTTTCATTTCATATACACTTTCACTCCCGACCAACAACTCACAGAATCCAAATTAAACTTCAACTTAAGTAAGTCTCATTTAGTTTCTGAATTTTACAGGCATTATGATAAAAAAGTACCAAAAACATACATTGTTGCTTTTTGTTAATCCTGATTATTTTTAAGAATTTTAAGATAATATCCATTTTTGTTTTTATATGTCAACTACGGCTGCCCAGACGCGACAGCAAAAAACTGTTTTTGTATTTTTAGATTTTTTGATTTTTGTATTTTTTGATTTTTGTATTTTTTGATTTTTGTATTTTTTGATTTTTTGATTTTTGGATTTTTTATTTTGATATATGTTTAGATTTTTTTAATGTTTAAAGACCTTGTCAAGTTCGTTCTGCACATCAGTTCTGTTCATAACTAAGGGGGACCCACAGAAATAAAAATTGCCCAAATTTTGCATTTTTCGAACTGTTTTGAATTGAAACGTACTATACTAGTTTATATTCATTTACAATAGCGAACCAGAAAACTGTTAGATATTTAGTTAATAGTATGTCTTATTTTACAAATATATATAGCAGTCCAAAATATAAACAAAGGATTTATTTACATTACGCGGACTTGACATGCATGGTCTTCAAAAGTTTGAAGTACTTATAAGTCTGATAAAACACGCACTGCGGATGTAAATTTTATGTACTACAATCTAGATAAAGCATGAGCAGCCGTGTTGTATCAAGTGTACAAACTCGAGCCGTACATGTCTGGGACAACATGTACGCAATACTTCATATGACTTGTGATCAAACGTTTGAGAACATTCGTATTCTTCAACAATTTTAAATATTCAATGAATGATATTTGGTGAGAAAATTTAACTTAAAGTTTATGTAAAATGAGTTTTTTAGTACTATTTAATACATGATCAGCAGTGTTTTATCAGATATAAAATAGGAGGCGAAGCCGAATATCTTTACTCTTTAGGTCTGATAAAGAAGACATCGGCACTGTATTTTAAATTGCTTCAAAAACGATCGCTCTATACTAAGGTCATTGGCAAAGTAATTTTCAAAAAATATGTTGTGTAAGTCGAGAAAATCAAAGTTAAAATTTATGTAAATCAAGGGAAGTCTCGATCACATGTATAAACGACACACTTATGATTTTTCTTTGTGTTTTCCTCACAAATTATGAATAAGATTTTGAAATGTAAATATCAGCCTGCGTAGAAGGTGGTATTTGCAGGCTTTCTTCCTAACTACGAACAAATTTCAAACTTTTATTTTCAAACTTTTATTTTCAAACTTTTATTTTCAAACTTTTATTTTCGAACTTTTATTTTTAAACCTTTGTTTTCAAACTTTTATTTTTAAACTTTTGTTTTCAAACTTTTATTTTCAAACTTTTATTTTCAAACTTTTATTTTCAAACTTTTATTTTCAAACTTTTGTTTTCAAACTTTTATTTTCAAACTTGAACAGGAATATAAAGTCTGGACAAGAGTATTAGTATGTAAATAAATATGGGAAAGTACATTTATTATGCCGAGGGGGGGTGAAGATGTTAAGGGGGGCACCAAAATATTCTCTGGCATTAAACGGGGGGCTCGATATACTGAAGGTGGGGGGGAGCTCTAAACGTTTCAAAGTTTTGGTCCAGCAGGGGCCTGGAGTGTTCACTCCCACATAGTTAATAGAATAGATGGTTTGAAAACCCCCACTACTGTGAAATTCAGGCAAAAATATGTAAAATTCAAGTTAAAATTTTGACATTTTCAGGTAAAATTTGCATAATAAAGTAATTATTTTTGTGAAATGATAACCATTTTTGTAAAATACAGTCAATTTGCACCAATCTAAAATGTTTTTTTTAAAAAGGGTGCCATTTAATCTGGTGCTAGTGAGGTGAAAGAAGCAGTAGGTTGGTATTTTTGTTGAGGAGAAGCACATGCTTGAGTATATCAGACATCTTGAGGAACTGCAAATTGTATCTATGATGCCTATGATAAGAGAGAATTCCGGATTGTACTGCTACGATTCCGAATTCTGGAGGGGGGGGGCATTGAAAATTTTGAAAACTTGGAGGGGGGCATCGGAAATTTCCCAATAATCTCAACAGGGGCCCTGTAAAAATATGAGCTTTTTCAAGACATATCCATCTCCCCCCCCCCCCCTCGGCATAATAAATGTACTTTCCCTAAACAGTGATCATGTATATATATTGTAGTATAAACTTGATATATGTACAATAAAGTATCCTAAACCAGAATGCAGTACAACTAGTAGCTTAAGAAAAGTTTTCCCATCATACCATAACACAATGGCACGTTTTGACCAAATTTTTTTTAAAAAACATCAAAATCTCTAAACAAGAATGGCACCTTTGATGTTAATTTAGTATTTACAGTGACATTAGCTTGTACAAAAAGGGCACTTTTCATCACAAAAAGGCACACTTTTGGTCCTTTGAAACAATTTGGGAGGGGGGGGGCACGTGCTCCCTGTGCCCCCCTCTTCCTATGCCCCTGATTCTATGACCACTTGATCCCGAGATTGAAGGCTTTATGTACATGAACATTTCAAGTGGAAGATTCATATATATTTAATTTAGACCTATAACCAGCTGCTGTATATATATATATATATATATATATATATATATCAGAGTAGAATCTGAAATTGGCAGTGTCCGCAAAAAGAAAAAAATTAAGTACACTTGAGCTGTTAGTAAAATAATTAATATATAATATAAATAATAGATGACCCAACATGGATCCTTGAGGCACACCACAAGAAATGGATTGCTTGGTATATACACTACTGTCACCGCACACATTTACCTGAATTCTTCCACTAAGATAAGAAGTAAACAAATCATTTGCAACCCACTGATTCCGGTCATAATTTTCCAGTTTTTGAATAAGGATTTCATTGTTAACTGTTATCGAAAGCTTTACTAAAATTTATTAATATTCCACAAGAACT